TATTTTTATATTCAACTATTTGCAGAATTTTTAAACTCCACTATTTAAATACATATGTGCATTAGGGCGGGTCAATTTTTTTACACTTACGTGTCATTCTAAGCAAATTGAGCTAAGAAACCATGGGTCTAAAATCAATTTGGAGTTTGCGAAATTTCGAAAATAGGTTTTAAGGAAAATGTGAAAACTTTCACTTTTGCGCCCTCTAGCGGAGGTTTACGGGAAAAAAAAGTGCACAAAAGTATTCTTCATACCGAAAAGCACCTTATAGCATGTTTTTTTTTTACAAAATTTAAGCACTTCTTTATGACACTACAGCAAAATGCTAAAAAAAACTCCAAATTGATTTCAGACCCATGGTTTTTTCGGCAAATTTGTTTAGAATTGCACGTAGAATCCTTCTGTGCTATATGCGCATAGTCGAAAAAATCTCTCATACAAATTGACCCGCCCTAGTGTATATATATATATGTATATATGCCAATTAAATTACTTACATATTTTCATTTAATCACTTCAAAATATATATGGTAATTTTTATAGAACCTTATTTAACTTAACTCTGTTAGACAATATTATAAATGTTTTTTCAATTTACTACAAGTACGAAATTGGGCGAGATGTTGTTAAATATTTTTCAGATTTTTTATATATCTTTTTCCTTTAGCGATGACAGCAGATTGTTGAATTTGAACCAACTAATCAGAAACAGAAAAAAAAACTTATGAAATAATTTTAAAGTGTCTGCCTTGAACCTCAGTGGTGGTGTCCATACAGGACAGGCAAACCTTAAAACGTCAAAATTTTTATTTTTGCCATGGGATACAGTTGATTTTTTTTTTTAATTCAATTATAAGATACGGAATTTTATATGTAAATTTTCTTCAAAATAACTCTTGTTTTCAGCGGCCTATAGTAAAATTTAGCAAACGATTTTTCGTAGAATATTCTAACGCGCCTACTCCTACCGTAATGACCTTTATTTTGATTATGTTAGTGAATCCGAAATAGCAGTTAATAACATTAATGTATTGGCGCTCATACAATATGTTAGTGATTGGCCGAGTTTTTCCTCCGATCTGTGGCGTGCACCTTGATGCTGTGGGGACCAACCATTTTATGCCGACTCCAAACGGCGATTGTATTTTTATGAAAAGCTATTTTTGATGGCATAAATTCATTGGGAGGCAGCGAAGCGAGTATCATGAAAAAATTTATTTTCATAGGTGAGTTTAGGTCAGGAATCGACATAGAAATCAATTGGCTCTTCTTCATCCCCATCACGGCAGCCCCAGCAGAGAGTACTCGTTCGTATTCGCCACCGTCGAAGCATTGGTGCTAAGCACAGTGTCCACTGATGATGCCGGTAAGGCATTTCACTGCCGACCTATTGAGTTTCAGTAGGTCCCTCGTCTTTTTCCTACTAATATCACAATATTCCTATTTGTTCCACAAGTCATTAGTCGTGGCCACGATGTATTCACAAATTTTCCTAACGTGTTCACTAAACGGTGGTAGTACGGAGCTATCCGCTTCTTTTATTGGCATCTCCAAGCCGCATATGGTCATATCATAAGACGACCCAGCATAGAGTGACATTGACACGGCTCAGCTACGCCAGTGTTTTGCGAAATTTCCATATAATTCCCGATTTCACAATTTTAGATCCTATTACCTTCAATGCTGCTAGACTGTCTGCAAAGAAAGTGGCTTTGTCTTATGGAGCTCTACTACTATTTAAGTAAAAGACTCTGCTTCGAAGACACTACTGCTTATTCCATCTTTGAACCATCAGTGAGATGGACATACCACCCTCTGCTACCGGCAGTCCTGCATCCCATTCTTCTCTGGGCGAGAACTTAGAACTAGGCACATTCGTATTGAAGTCCCAAATAAGCGTATGCTGGTTTCTATGTCAGTTTCAATTCCATTGAGCGGGTCCCTTTTTATTACATTCAGTGATGCTGCATGCACGAAATTGACGGCGTTCCACGTTTTGGCCTCACTGAACCTTAGGGCGCTCTTTGCGGCCGTACCATGGATGAACATATGCAGCGGTTGTAGGTGAAAAATCATGTTAAAGTCTTCCTGAGGTGCGTTACTCACTGCCCATGCTATACAGAGGCAGGCAAGACTTTGTCTAGAGCCCTCCACTATTCTAAGAACCCGTGGGTTGCAATTCGTCTGTTGACTGAAGTGTACATCCCATAGGAGATGTACGGTGATTGTTTCCATTGCTTTCCAAAGGTGCTTTTGCATATGTAGTACGCTGGTAGAGAATTCTTGGCTCTCTCCTCTAAATTATTTTCCCAATTCAACTTGGAGTCCAGAATGATTTCGAGGTATTTTGCCTCGGAGAAGTGATTCAAAGTAATTGCCCCCTAATTTCGGCAGAGAAAAACTGGGTACTTTTGTTTTCCTTGGGTTAACCCCCAATCCATTCTGGTTGGCCCACTTAGCGATATCACCTAGTGCACCCTTCATTAGTCCACTTGTCGTTGACAGGAAATTGTCAGTGATGAGTATGCCTAAATTGTTGGCGCAGGCGACAACCCTTATTCGCATAGTTTTAAAAATCTCCAGAATTTCGTTCACAACCAGGAGCCAGAGGAGAGGGGATAGTGCACCCCCTTGATGCGTGTCCCTGGTGATTTGTCTCTTTTTACAGATCCTGTGCCTGAAGTCTATAAATACAAACTACTATTTAGTAACAGTATAATCAGTAAATAGTTTCAATAATTATATGGATACCAAATAAAGGAGAAAATTCCGTAGAATTTAAAAAATTTAAGTCTTTTAGTTTAGTTTTACTCTTTTTTGCCCCCAATTTCGCGAATATATTTGGGTTGTTCACACTTGCCTGGTGATCAGGTTATCTGGTTATGTGCTTTTATTTTTCATTCAGTGTACAACAATAACATACAGTATACAATAATAAGTTTTAACCAGATACCCTGATAACCAGGCAAGTTCGAATAGCCCAACTAATTTTTTTGTGTATAAAATTGACTGTCGCATGGTGTTACAATTAGGAAAATTGTTATCAAAATGTATTAATATGTAAAATTTCTGTTTAAGTACGAATACAATATTAACCCTTAAGTATTGTTGTTGGTCTCTCAGATCACGACAAAATTTTTAGATTCAAATTAATATTGCTTTTACGTGTCGATAAATTTCATACTACGAATAGCTTTTACCGAGTCAGCAATAAGTCAAATGCTATCTGCCAGGGAATGTGGTAGGAATTTCGAGCAGTACTAATATTTTGAATAATTCTTTTAACTTACAACAAAATTGGTTGTAAATATTTAAAATAGTTGTTTCTTGTTTTTATAGCGATATAAGAAATCAACGTTGAAAATCCAAGAAATATTCATGACTAAAAATTTCCCCAGTTTCTAATCATTGTGAAAGTTGCCAAATTGTTTATTTTTTTCGGTTAATTTGAAGTATTTTTGTTTCAATAGTGTTATTAAGCTTTGTGCCACGATTTGTTTATTAGGAAAAAATGGAAGAAACAAGCAGCTATTTCGGAGATCACCACGTCTCCTCATCAGACTTCTTTTTTTCTAGACTTTCAGCAGGGATCAAACCCGCATCATCGATGTGCAAAGTCAGAAGCGCTAACCACTGAGCTATGCACACCCCGTAAGCTTTTGTTGCCAATCCATTTCCTTATGCAACCCACTACTATCAAGTGCAGCTGATTCGCCGCTACTAGTATTTTTATTTTACAAACAGTCTTTTGCTTTTCAAACAAATTAATCACATTTTTGCAAAGTCAAAAGAGTAATATTTTTACTAAAAACAGCTTTTGGAGAAACGCGTTATGTACATATATTTTCATTACTTAACAATTAAGTTTGTGTGTCTCCCAAACCAACGTGGGTAGTTATATGTTTCTTTTTTAAGTACAGTAGTTAAGGGTTAATGTAATTTTTGGGACCGTGCAATTGAACTAACACGTCAATATCAGGATTGAATGAAGATGTTTTTCGTATCCTTTGTCATGGTTTATTTCATTATTTTTGATAGTTTTAGGATCGATTCGCGAACCACCTGTTACCCTTACGCGACCCACCGGTTGGGAATCGATGCCAGATATTCTAATCTTTGACCGAAAAATATAATAAAAAAAAATCCGCGAAATTTGAGAATAAAAATGTTTGGATTGGTTACGTTTTCGATTGTAATTACTTTTTTATGCAAATTCACACAAAAACAAAATTTTGGAAATTTAATTTTACTCTTGTAAATAAAATGAAGAGCAAAGTATGCAATATTTTTATACGATGCGAAAGTGTAATGTATACACAAATAAGGAATTTACATAAACTTACTATAAACAAATATTTACCATTTTTATTAAGGTTAGCGCCACTATGTATATCCACTAGATAGGTTGAGGTAGGATTACAATTACATACATACATATGTATTTTTATGATTGAATACAAACATGCATATTTATTTACTATCAATTTTACGATATGGCAATATTTCAAAATTATTCAAAAATATTTTATGCATAAATAAACTAAACTGATATACACAAACACATATGTATATGTGTATATTTTATAGATATCTAGTTGATAACATATTTTTTTCGAGATAATCCTTTTATCAGCTATGACTGTGTATGACCAAATATAATTTATTTCACAGTAAACTATATAGACATATGTACATATCCAATTATACAATTTATCCTAATACTCCTTTTTACTGGAATTTATAAAATCTTTTAAACAAAGGGTTACTGATTTAACCATCTATTTGTAGGTGTTATTTGCATTGATTTCACTTTAATATTATATTTATGTACATATGTATGTATGTATGTATGTATTTTGCGCTTTATTCTCATTTCTTACGATATTGCCCAGTATTACAGTTAGTATATACAATATGCACAACAACAACCAGCTAACAGCAAAACAAAGATTATTGTCTCTCGGCTACCGTAGCACATAAATATTTAGTTTCCATGATTTGAATTAAATTTTCAGGAACACATACGCCAATCGAAGGAGAGCAAGCTGGATGAATTGGGCCGCAGTTCGAAGGCACGCTCAAGGGAGAACTTACACAGCACAATGCCGAGGTAAGTGGAACAAAGTGGTGAGGGCGTATTTTACAAAAGGCAATTTGTGTAGTGCAATAACTTCTATTAACTTGCGAATGCACAACAAGTGTGTGCGTGCGTGCGTGCGTGCGTGCGTGCGTGTATGTGTGTTTGTTTGCCCCTATGTCGAACTGTCAATTCCAATTTTACTCCACTTCACAGGCCCAAGCCATCGCAGACATCCTTGCAAATTCTTGACGACACAACGAATCGCTATTATCGCGAAGTGGTGCCCATGTCGCACATTCATAACAAACCTGACCTCAAGGATCGTGAACACAGCATTCTTAGGCATCGCAATGACATGGTCGTACAGACGAGCTTCTGCGGTGATGACGGCCGCGATGAGAATAGCTCCGAAACGACAGTGGAAGCGCAAGTGGCAGCGGCGGCGGCGGCAAATGCCTGTGATATGGGCTGTCAAACGCGGTAAAAAACAACAACACAAACACGTACATATACATACACACATATATCCATATCTACACACGTACAATTTGAAAAGACAAACAACAAACAACAAACGTACATCATCTGTACATATGTATTCATAAGCGTACTCGTATCAGCATATTTGCATATTTGCACACTTGTCCCCAATGTTTGTTCAGCAATCAATGAGTATCCCATGTCCCATGTCTTTGCTTACAGTGAATCGCTTTTTGCCACACCACTGATGCACCAAAGCTCGTTGAGCTCAGTGAACAAGGACAGGGCCAGCCTACACTCACGCTCACGTTTTTCTACATTTGGTTATGATGGCGCTCAATCGACACCACCACCAATGCATCCAGCTGGTGGACGCGGCAGCAACCAACTTACAGGACTCAATATACGCGATGCCCAGGGTTATATCGAAATGAGGGAGCGACATCCAGCGCCGAAGTCGTCCATGCCGCATATGCATCGTATGAATGCATTGCCACCGACACCGCCCACGCCAGCAGTGCCGTCAGAGATGTGTCATCATCATCATCAACATGCGCACACGCACGTACACGCCCAACAACAGCAACAGCAACAGCAATCAACGGCACACCAGCAGCAACAGCAACAGCAACAGTTGGCTATGCAACAGCAGTCGAGGGAGAGTGCGGCGGCGGCGGCGGGTAGCAGGTCGACCACGACAACGACAACGACGCCGATGCCGGCATCAGCTCAGGGAAAAGCCAAGCCAAAGCTGAGTCAATCGACAGCTTACATCGACATTAGAAATTCAGCGCCGGATGTCATCATAATGACATCGCATTGACATTTAAGTAACTCGACGAAAATCACGCCATATCCACATGGGCGCACGCAACAGCAAAAACACATTAGCACACTCGATAGACTGTTGCAATGTGCTGGTAGCAGTACCGGTAGTAGTCGGGGAAGCGCAACACAGCGGGCATTTGCGAGGACGAGTGAAATGTCACCACAAATAAGGAAGTCGCTTGGGTAGGTAAAGCTTCTAAGTGCATGTGTGCGGTGTGAAATCAATTAGGATTTTTCAGTACGCCCTTAGAATGTGTGTAACTTTGGTGAGGATAGTTTAGTAAACATTTTAGCTGACATTTTAAAAATTTCATCTTGCAAAGCTAGAAAAAGTACTGTAAGGCGGAAGAGGTATTTAAAAGCATTTAGAGCATTGGCAATTAATTGGTAGAACAGACAGTTGGAATTAAAAGATGCCAACTGGAAAATTTATTTCAATAGGACATGCAGAGTAAATAACTGAATAACTGTGGCAGTGCAAATCGTATACGATCCATGCGATCCATATGATCCGTCAGATACCGTACTAGGCATGAATATTCAAACATTTCAAACTCTCTGTCAGAAAGTTCGTGAGACGTTAGTTCCCAAATTGTTATTCGAGAGAAAGTTCCTTAGACTCTTGTATTTTGCCAAAACGTTCCGGAGACTTTTGTTTCCATTAACTATTGTTCGCATTTTGTTCTCTTTTGGAACGTTCTACACGGGGGTTCTTGTTGTTCTTACATAATTGCCATTGAGAACGTTCTCGACAGTTTTGTTCTCATTTCGGTTTTGGTTTCAAGCATTCTTGGGAGCAAAATTTCGAGATTTGTTCTCGGTCGCTGGTTTTTGGTAAAAAAATTACAAAAAATTTCTCTTGAAAATCATTTTGAAGGTCGCAATGAATAAGACATTACTTTTACCTTCAAAGAGACCCTCAAAAGTATTTCTTTTTAATTACTTGTCGCTTTTTGACCTAAAAACAGCATTTAATGAACCCTTAAAAAAAAATAAATTGATTTCGACTTCTTGAAGCAAGGACAACAAAATCAAGTGTTTAAAACTTTTTAAAATATTCAGTCTTACTGTTTTCAGGTGAAAAAGGAAATGAATTGAAATCTCGCTACTTTTGAGGTGATTTAAAAGGTCAAGTTAATTTTTTATTCAACAAAATAATTTTTCCTTGAATTTTCTACCTCACTTTACTATGCTGTTAAATCTATTTCACTAGCTCTTCTCGTTTTCGACACTATGCGCCACCTACCGGACAAAATTTTGTGGTGGTTCATGTAAGAAATATACGTTCTAAATATGAACCACTTCCGACCATAAATGCGGGCTTTTCAAACATCTTAATTCTTAATTAATTCATTTTTCAAGTATCTATGTCATCGAAAAGTTGGTTAAATATTGAGTGAAACTTAATAAAAGCTTGTAAAAATGTAACGACAACAGTTTGATAAGTCAGAGACTTTTTGTATTACCCGCATAGTAACTTTAAATGCAACTTCTATGTTCTGATGAGCTTATGAGCAAGCTAATGAACGCTGATTTTTTTTTTTTAAGTTTACCATTTTTAAAATAAATTTTATTTTATTAATAAAATCATGTACCTACTAATGGTAATGATAATGCTGATGATAATGGCAAAGGCATTGGTGATGATAGAATAAGACTGAAAAATGAGAATCAAGCGATAACGATTAAGAGCTTTTATCCCAGTGACGAGTTAACCCAGTTTCGGCATTTAACTAAAGAGTTTTTTAGTACAAAAATTTAAAATTAACCGCCGAATGTTAGTTACTTATCCACTGTGAAAAGGGCCTAAGTTATATTGAGTAACTGCAGCTATACGAAATCAATGGATGCCGATAGTAAAATTAAACATTATTAAGCTCCCCCTCTAAATGGTAAATAAGGACATTGCACGAAAAATTTACACTTAGGAAAATATGATTTTGGAAGTCATAATATATATTTTTTTTTTGTTTAATTATTTTATTTATACAGTATTATAAAAGTACTATCGAAGTTAAAAGACGAAATGTACAAATGTGTGATCCCTGCTTAAGTATATGACGAATACTCGGAGGTGTATGGCGAACTGGGGCGGTCTAATGTACATAAATGTTTCAATTGTGGAAGGGTAGACGTAATTAGACTGTGTTAAGGGCATTTTTTTATTGTAAAAATCCAAATTGTTCCAAAGATCGTCATATTCTGACATCATGCATAAAAAGTTAGATTAAGCCTCGACTCAATTTTTAGTGCAAATTCTTGAACTTGAGCTCACTTTTTATGCAAGAGGCCTACTGTCATGGGAACCAAAAACTAATGGATGGCATTTTTACTCCACAGGTACGAATAAAGCAAAGAGTACTACAAAACACTGGCCGTTTCTGAATTTTTCACAAAAATGTGTTATGGAATGTACTGGACCGCTTAGAATACTGCAAAACATACTACTTACATATATAAATACTTAATAATAAATGGTTGAAGGTTGTAATGGTAAAACATTTCCTCACTTATATGAAGTAACATTAGTTTCCTTTTTTTGCAAAGAGTTGAATGTAATTAAACTATCGAAAAAACATATTGTACATAAATATTGCATGAAGTGAATATGTATATGTACATAGGTATGTCATTGCATATATCGGACGGAAATGAAAATTGTATTTAGTTTACTTAAAACTAAGTAATTAATTTGGTAATCAAATAATTAAAGTGGTAAACTAGTGAAAATAGTCAAAGCTTTAAGCTCGCATTATTAAGAACTTTCATACGTATTAAACATAATGGAATAATTAGCATAAAAGCGATATATATATGTTCGTACATAGATACACGAAGTATGTACATTAGGGTGGTCCAAAAATACATGTTTTTTATTTTGACATCAAAAAATATTTAGAGGTCACTCAAAACGCTCAAAGTTTTCCATGTATTTTATTTGCATGGAAAAGACAACTTTTCGTAGAAATGGCCTAGAATTCTTGAAAATAAATATTCTATACCGTTTGTACGAAGTTGTTTTTTCCCCATATAAAATACATGGAAAACTTTGAGCGCTTTGAGGTCCTCTAAAAATTTTTTTCGATATAGAAAACTCCTAGAGGGTGAGAGCATTAAAATTGCAACTTTACTTATTTTGGACCACCTTAATGTACAGACTATATGCATACTTAGTTAGCCGATAGCGAATTTTCGAAGTTTTTTTTTGTTGAAAGAACTTTTATTGGAAAAGTTAAACATTTTATAAACCTAAAAAACAAAAATGTCGAAAGCTCTGAAGAATACAAAACCCGTGCTTGAAGCTTTCAAGCAACAACAATTTTTATTGAAGCTGGAATAGATGAAATGAAACCAAAAAATTTTAAGAATAAGAACAGTGAGTCGAACAACCGTTCAAATGAAGATTTTTTTTTAATATTCACAATATTTTTCAAGCTAATTTTTTTTTATACATTCACACATATATTGCTCATACTATAACCAGAACCATATAAAGCAAAATTTCAAACTTAATTCAAAATTTAGAATATTTTAAAAAATTTTCATCAATTTTCCTTTTTTAAATTCAATCTGAAATTCTAGAAAATCTTCCATTACGCAGTTTAGTGTTCTATAAATTTTTAGTTTTGGTAAAGTGCAAGTATTTTTTTTTTTTGCTGACGATTTCTCTCACATTTTTTCGTATATCAAAGACCATTCATAAAAACAAGCATTTAAAGAAATCAGCGCCAATTTTAATAAATTGTACAAATTTTTAGTTGCTTCAAACATGCCAACCAAAAATTAAGATCAAAACGCTCCTCAATTTTCTGAATCTTCCAATTTTTTTTATAAAATTTTAACCTTTGATTTACATGCTTTTGGTTATACCATGAACAATAATTTTACAAAAAAAATTTACCTGAAAAAAATTGTGAATATTACAAAAAAAAACGTATGAACGTTTGCTTGAGTCACTGTATAGGTATAAATTACATAAATATAAAAAAGTAATTTTTAGCAAAATATACAAAATATATAAAAAATACGATAATTGATAACCTTCCTCCTTTTTTGAAGTCGGTAAAATTAATAGGAAAATAAAGTACTAAAAATTTATTTTACCCTTAATTTGTTGTAAACTATGTAAATATTATACGAACCACAGGAAAATTTTCTTTTAACAAATTTATAAATATGTATGTATAATTGTTTTATTGCGAAAAATTGTACATTTAACTGTATTATATGTACGTAGATATTCATTTTTCAAATTGAGCCACTAACTAATCCCAGCATTTATGAAAGTTGATCAATTATACAAACAAATGTAGAAATGATAAAAATGAAGTAATTTCTAAAACACTTTCTAATAAGTAGTGTGTAAAGTACACATATACCAAAATTAGCTACTTTCACAACCATATGTATACATATGTATGTACATGTGCATGTGCAGAAAAATATTCAAAATATTTTCTCTTGATTTTTAAGTTTTTCTTAGCGAATTATATTGAGTTAAACTCAACTAGAAACTTGTTATATAGCAAAAACTTTAACCAGTAGATATTAACTTAAGTCGCATACTAATTGAAAACAAAATATGAATGTAGCAAATAAAAAGGCCAGCGTAAAAAAAAAACTTTTTTAATGGTAAATAATTAATTATCTAATTTAT